GACGAACTAGACGAATATGCTACTGAGGTTTATGAATGGCTTTCTCTTGTCCGTCTCGAAAGTCCTAGAATAAGCCCCAGTGATAATATCGATCCCTACCTAGCCACTTATGCTCTACCAGGTAATCCCGCCGAGGTTGATGAAGGTCGGTTGTGCAAGATTAGTTGGCAGGGATTCATACCCCCAAGTTGGACAGCTAGTATCTTGGCAGATCTAATTAAGATACTTCCGCCACAAGCATGGTTTTCATTTAGCACCACGCCATTCACCCGATCGACCATGAATCACAGCGCAGACTGCACCATCATTAGACCGCCAAGCAGTCCGGGAGAGTATGTTCTCTGGGAGATCAAAGGACTTGATTGAGCATGTGCACTGGCTTTTGATATCAAACGGGAATTATGTCTCTTTCAGTTCGCTCAATCCTGACGGGGTCGGACATTGCGGTCTGCTAGGTTTCTATCGGCGATGGCATCTTGAACAAGCTGTCGGAGTGCAGCTTGACCTTCTTCGCTATGGAAATCCTCACGTTGTGACAACTCTTCTATTCTCCTCCTAAATTCAGGGTCGACTTCGATATCGTTGTCCTCGGCAGGTGTGATAGTGCTGACGGAAAAGTTGAGGCCCGCGGGAGGGGCTGGTCTTTCACGGCCTTCTACTGTGTCGCCATTGACTCCATTTGATGCATTCTGGACTCGCCCGGCTTCTTTAGACTGGAGGTACTCAGCAACGTCTTCGAATTCGCCTTCCTCGGCGATCTTTTGGCGGGCAGTGTAGCCATCAGACCCTTTAATCATGAAGTCGGCACCAAGCTCTTCAACTAGAACTCTAGCAGCATCGACCGTCTCCACAACAAACAAAGCTGTCTCCTCGTCCTCGTCACGCAAGTTAACATCGACGTTAAATTCACGGATCAGAGCTCGTAGAAGGTCTAAGTGGTTATAGCTGGCGGCGGCGTGGACTAGGGAGTAGCCGTGCTCGTCCTGCTGGCTGGCTAGAGTTGGATTTTGGTGAAGGAGGGGCAGAAGAGCCGGGCTATTGTCAGCCGCAAGGAGGAAGGGGTTGGCCGACATGGTGACAGTTCTCGGGGGAGCTTGATGGACCTTATGTAATAGATAGTTGGTACGGATCCTGAGTGGGTGGTAACGCGCTTATACGCAGAATCGCCGAGAAAAAACAGAAGAGAGAAATTCTGATGGAACACAACTTTTTGATGCGAATGCGACTAAAGTATCTAGAATTTGCATCGGGCCGCTTCGGTCTGATGGCCATGGGTAACGGAAATTTGCAGCGGCAGCGCTCGCGGTTAGGTAGGTAGGCCAGGCAATCTAGAATCAAGATCGTTGCCAATGCTGCTGCCCCGCCAAACTCGAAGGTTACCCCGCGGCTCATTGGAGGGGCTAGATAAGATTGGAGAATTCACAACCGTTGGACCACAGCGCCACCCAGGCTATTCAGTACGGGTGGTTAATAGTTATTACCCAGATAAGATTAGTGAAGCTTTGGTCAACGCATGTTCTACCCCAATGAGGTTAGTGGAGACCTGGCAATCAAGTGGTTTACGGGCTATATTATCAACCTGGGTAGGCACAACACAAGGCACCGATGTAGCGCCTAACCTCCCGGTAGAACCTACCCTAATTTTTACACAGCCCTTTGGGTAGCAGGAGGTTTGCCGGTTACCAACATCTCGATTCCAGCCTATGCTCGCGGCAAGATCGCGTAATGTTGCTGTTTAACCTGAATACGGAATGACTCACATCCTGAAAGCCCAAGGCAGTCTCAGACCGATATCCGCAGGTCTCACATGGGCAAGGACCTTGATTGATTCTCGAGCTATTCACTGCTCTCCTACCAGAAACACTCTGCGTAAGTCGCGTATCGAAGCGCACGAAATTCTCTTTTCTATCTTCGGCTTATTTTCCTGGGTAGAATAAGGTAGGCAACTAGTCGGTTGACCTATTGCCACTACATCCACAACCGACTCTTCTTATATCCATCACTTCCAGCACCACTGATAGCGGCAGCCAGTTCAGCTCACACCATGGATCTTCCTAATGCCCCTTGCGCTGAGCAGGACCCTCAGAAGATTTCGCAGCTTGTTTCTGCTTTGAGTGACGGGAGCAACAAGGAACGGAGAGGGTTCAGGGCCAAGCAAACAAGCTACAAGGTCACTGGGTCACTTGACAATATCACCGTTGACTCGTGGCGCCTCCACGATTGGGATTACAAGAAACCTAACCTACCCACCTATGCCCGCGGCCTCTTCACCACCAAGAACCGGCATGGCGATTATGAGATTGCTGTGAGAGGCTATGACAAGTTCTTCAACGTCGGTGAGGTCTCGGCGACAAAATGGGACAACATCAGGAAAAATACGCGAGGTCCATACGAGCTCACTTTGAAGGAGAACGGCTGCATCATCTTTATCAGCGGTTTGGAAGATGAGACCTTGCTCATTTGCAGCAAACATTCAACTGGAGGCAGAAGTGATGATGAAGTGAGCCACGCTGGCGCTGGCGAGAGATGGGTAAACAAACAGCTCGCCACCATTGGCAAAACAAGAAAAGAGTTTGCTCGAGAGTTGCGCCGTCGAAACGCCACAGCAGTCGCTGAACTGTGCGATGACGACTTCGAGGAACATATTCTGGCTTACGGCCCGGACAAGGCCGGCTTATATCTTCACGGTATTAATTTGAATGTCCCAGAGTTCAAGACATATCCAAGCAACCTGGTCCAGCAATTCGCAGATGAATGGGGTTTCCGAAAAGTTGGGCTGCAAGTCTTTAATGACAGTGACAGCATCAAGAATTTCCTTGAGCGGGTTGCTGAGTCTGGTGCACATGAAGGCCGGAATGTTGAAGGCTTCGTCATCCGCTGCGGAATGTCACCCTCGCCGGGACAGTCGCAATATAATGACTGGTTCTTCAAATATAAATTCGAAGAACCCTACTTGTTGTACCGACAGTGGCGAGAATGCACAAAGGCCATCATCGCCGGAAAGCCGCCTAAATTCCAGAAGCACGCCAAGATTACTGAGGAGTATTTACTTTACGCCAGGAAAAGATTAGCTGAAGATCCGAACTTAGGCAGGCTTTACAACCATAATCACGGAATCATCTCTCTTCGCGACGACTTCCTTGCATACAAGAATCTCAAGGGCTCCGACGCTGCAAATCTCGAAAGAGAGTTCGGAAATGACACCTCGAGCGTGTCGGGCGATATTGTTCTTGTGCCGATTGCGACAATTGGGTGCGGGAAAACTACTGTCGCCGTCGCCTTGAGTCATCTGTTTGGTTGGGGTATTGTTCAGAATGACAATATCCAGGGCAAAAACCGCCCCGCCAGGATGGCTGATGCTGTTATGGCTCTTCTAACAGAACACCCTGTCGTAATTTCGGATAGAAATAACTCAGAACGCCGAGAGCGAGAGCAGATTATCCAAGATATCCTTTCGCAGCACAAGGAGGCCCGATTGGTTGCTTTGAACTTTGTCCATAATGACATGGACGAAGTCAGAAAGGTTACAAGGGAACGAGTACTGTTGCGTGGCGATAACCACCAGACTATTCAGGCAGCATCCGATCAGCGGAAGGTCACTGGTATCATGGACAGCTTTATGAACAGATTTCAGCCGTGCAATCCAGAAAGCAGTCCTGATGATGGCTTCGACCTCATTATCGACCTCGACCCTACCCTTGAGAGCCGTGTTAATGTTGAAAAAGTGGTCATCGAGTTCCGCAAGAGATACCCATCGTTAATTCCGAACATGCCAAGCGCGGAAGACATGGATGCAGCTGTCAAGGCTGCTATCGAGGAGTATTCGCCATCTATGAGACATACAATCCCTGATCGTACCAGCAAACAGGGTCCGAAGCGACAAGAGACACAGAAACCTCAAGAACAGAGGGTTCAAGGATTCGAGAGGAAGAAAAAGAAGAAGCCGCTTGAATACATGTCTGTATCAGTTTGTCCCAGAGAGGTCAACGTGGCACTCGAGTCGGCCTTCAGATCCGCCGATTCGGAGACACAGCGATTTTACAAGCAACTCCAGCAAACCAAACGCATCCAGTCCCTTTTCCACGTCACCCTCATGCACAGGGTTGCCGCTACACAATATCCCGAACTTTGGCAGCGCTATACCACCCTCGAAGCCGAAAGTCAATCCACAGATGGGAAAGTTGGCGAGTGTAAAGTCATACTCGAACGTGTGGTGTTTGACGACCGAATTATGGCTATTGTCGTGCGGCTGCTAGATCAGACAGATCAGTGGACCTGTGTCAACAAGGTGACACATATCACGGTAGGCACACGGGATGCCAGCATTAAACCCAAAGAAAGCAACGACCTCCTGACACGGTGGCTCGAAGTTGGAAGTGGAAATAACACCGGCATCAATGAGCGCGTATTTGAGGGAAAGCCGATATTGAAAGGAACAGTCCGTGGCGTATTGTCCAGATAGGATGAGGGTATGTCAGGGCAGGGCCGGAATCGGAGTTATAGGGGGAATTGGAGGTCGCGTTCAAGAGGCGCTCATTAGCACTATGCATCATGTGTTTGAACCGATTGAACGGTAGGCTGCTGATGAGTAGTATGCCCATAGTTATCGTCGCGCACCGCTTCTGTAGGAATAACTACCTTCCAGTTTCATAATGCCAAGTCTACGAGATGCTTTGTGTTTCCTTTAGCCCCGTGTCAAAAAAGAATTCGATGTCAATTTCGCCTCTACGTTTGCGGTTATGAGGCGATAGAGATTATTCTTTCTTACGTGTTGGCTGTGGGCATGGTATCTCAGGTAGGTTTGACATCGTCTTTTATAGGAACGTCTCTTATTTATGATGGCTCGTCCGTATACGCGATGCATTTTACCAGTGTACATGATGGACTGCGGTGCGCCTGTCTTGCAAGGACGCTGGATACCGCCATAGCACTATTAAGGCAGTCCAAACACGCAACTCTCAACGAGCTTCCAGACCCACCCTGGAAAGCAGTGAAAAACATCTCGATTGGTCTAGTGGCTAGGATACCTGCTTGTCATTCAACTTGCCTAAGTGTTCATGATAAAAGTTTCACTTTGGGTATCGTGGAGCGAGTCGCAGGTGGCCGGGGTTCGATTCCCCGATCGAGAGATTCAATTTTTTCGGTTTTTTCCCCCTTTCTTTTTTTGTTTTAATTTACTTTTTTATTTTCGTTTTCTTGCGTTAGATGTTTCTTTTCTCTTCGTTACTCGCATTTGTGGGCTTGGGTTATCGTTCGTCCTTGCGAGGTGGTATTAAAGGGAACTGGGCTTGTCATGCGTAGATGGATAGTGCGTTGGTTATGTGTCTACCTCTCCGGCATGTCTCGTCTTTTACAAACTCTGGATGATGGATATAAATAAGGTAACGGGATGGTGAGTCGAACCACCCTCATTAACTAACAAGTGTTGATTGAGGAGATAAATTACGTAGATCATGCTGGTAGGGAGTTCGTAACATCGGCGAACGCATTCCATTCTTCCCATGCTCGACCACTCTTAATCGTCCATCTCGCCCTCCTGACTCCCTCTTTCCAGCGCCCGTTCCCAGGCCCTCTCTCTGTGATGACCTTGCCGTCATCACCAGGACCCATAGAGCTCGTATCGGCCTCACAGATACCCGATACAACAAATAAAGCCGCCGTGTTCATCAGAACAAACTCGAGGACAGGGCTGTCTTCGGGCAGCTCGCCCTGTAAGATCTGGCGTAGGATTTCTGCATTCTCGTGAGGCTCTTTACCGGGAGACACGCTGCTCAGTGGATGTGCACTGAGCCCAAAGTCCTTAGGTTCGAGCACGAAATGCTCGACTTCGACCCCGTTAGCATTGTCGACCAATTGCCAACACAGGGTGGGCCCGGCGCAGGAGATCTCGTCAAGCTGCTCTTTACCGCAGACTACCAGGCCCTTCTTGGCGCCGGCCAGTCGTAAGGCGTCCGCGAAGACGAAGCCCAGGTCATCGCGCGCCACGCCCAGCATACGCGCTTCGATGGCGGCGTCGAGGGGGTTGCTCAGGGGCCCCAATAGATTGAAGATGGTTCGCCAGCCGAGCTCTTTGCGGACGGAAGCGACGTACTTCATGCCCGGGTGGAAAACCGGGGCGAATAAGAAGGCGTAATTCGTAGACTGATACACGGTAGAGACAGTATCGGGGTTGATGCGGCTGAGCTGGGCGGGTTTGGGTTGCATATTCATGAGCAGGTCGGCAGAGCCAGACTTAGAAGTCGACGCACGATTACCGTGCTTTGCGAGCATGAGTAGAGACGAGGCGAGGATGGACGATGTGGTGGAAATGTTGAACGTGTGATGAGAGTCACCTCCTGTGCCTACGATGTCGCACTGCGGGTTCGATCAATAAATACTGAATCTTTGAGGCTTCTCATCCAGAATCCTCGGTGGGTTCTTCTCCGGCTTCTCGTATGATCATGTGTCGGGAAAACTCACCAGTCCGCCCTGATACTTTCCCTCCGGTCGCCTTCTTTTTGATATAGCATCTCCCAAGGCCTGCACGTCTACATTTGCTGCGTGCCTCCGCATCGCGGCAGAAGATTCGGCCAAGACATCAGCACGGCGGTCCCAGCCCGTGAAATGCAAGGCCGTTAAGAGTGAACCCGTTTGAACAGGGGTCAGCTTATTGACGAAGATCAGGGAGATGGCCTCGGCGATTTCACTGGCCGTAACATTCTGCTTCTCGGGGTCTGGCCATAGACGCTGAAGTAATGGACGAATATCGACCGCGACTTGCTTATTATCTTCCGTCATGGCTGGATTGGGCTGCGGATGAGTCACGATAGCTGTGATATGAAATTTCGTGAGACGTCTCCGAGTTTTGGCGAGAACTGGCTTGAAGAGAAATGAACCTTCAAGTTGAATCAAAGCATGGGACTCAAGATTCTTTATAGAAATTGGAATGTCAGCATAAGCATAACATGAAAACACTCTCTACTGTTGTTGACTCGGCGAATGTCAGCCCGCAAGCTCATTGAGGTAGGTCTCGCTGCCCCGCCACGATCGATACTCCCAGGTATTTCCTCCTGGGAGTCAAGATGGAGGGGCTGCAATATGGAGAACCCCGGCCCTTACCGATTAAATTCGTAGGGCATTTAGGTGGACAGGATCCACCATGAATCCAGGTACGAGATTTGGTAGGTTCGGTAGTTCGCCACCATCTACCGTCAGCGTGTGGGTTTTATCCTGGCTGACTGTTAATTCCGTAATCGGGCTAGAGCTGAATAAAACCGGACTGCGGCTAGTTACTAAGTTTTACGAACTAACCACTTCGAGTAGTAGGTCATATTTTGTGCTGAAGCTGCTGCGTCACGGGCTGTTTGCCGTACGGATAACTTCGTGGGCTTATGTGGCATTGATATGTGTACTCGAGGATAAGAGATAAGGAACTTTGGCTGACCGCGCAAGGTACCCAACTTCAAACCGGAGCGCCAAATCATCTTAAGAAGCCTTTTTGCTGCACCGCATTCGTCAATTCGGCGGCGGCGACGGCAACAACAAGGTCGAGAGAGCGAGACAGGAGATCGAGGTTCTATTGAGAGCCGCAAAATTGATCACCATGCCGCCGTGGCCCAATTGCTCTGCGTGCAGCAGCGCAGGCCGAGCTTTGCAGCGAGCGATAGCCTCACGAACGAGAGGACCAATCCTCATGACTCGGAATGCGACAATACTTGCTTCAAGGCAGTATGCAACGACTGCCTCTCCACCTGGCCTCAGCGCGATGAGGTTACCCGACGGCTATATCCCTCCGACTCAACCTCCAAGTGCGCGGCGACCAGAGTTGAGGAAGACGCAACTTCTTCGTACATACACCGCAATGCTACGGTCGACGCCCTTGATGCTCTTCTTCCAACACAACAATATCACTGCTGTGGAGTGGGCTGCTGTACGGCGAGAGCTTCGTGCTGCCCTGGCAGAGGTTCCAGCCGTTGCTGGACCTGATGGGACTATCCCTACCGACATTGGCTCCGGCCTTCAGTTGCAGGTGTTGCGTACACGCATATTCAACACAGCCTGCAAGCTCGTCGACTACTTCAAGCCCGACGATGCCAAGGCTAAGGGGTCGAACGTCTACACACATGATCTGTCCGAACTAGCCTACGAAGCGATCAGCAAAGCCGCCGTAGACGAGTCATCCACGTATGCTCAGATTAATCCCTTGCTCGTGGGGCCTGTTGCCGTCGTCACTTTTCCTTCGGTGTCGCCGGCACACTTGGCAGCTGTTCTGAGAATCCTTGCGCCATCGCCTCCCGCCTTCCCGGCGCCGTTGCGGAAAAAGAACCCTGGATACCACGAGCCCATTGCCCAGAACGGACTTCAGAAGCTAATCTTAGTCGGAGGCAGGATAGAGGGCAGGGCGTTTGACAATGACGGCGTCAAATGGGTCGGTGGTATTGAAGGCGGAGTAGACGGACTGCGTGGACAGCTAGTTTTCCTTTTGCAACAGGCTGGTCTTGGTATTACGACAGCTTTGGAAGGCCACAGTAAGGGCTTGTGGCTAGCTCTAGAGGGTAGACGGACACAACTAGAAGAAGAAGCCAACGGGGGTAAGAAAGAGGGCGAAGCAGACAGCGAAGCGAATCCCTAGAAGGCGTATACTGTTCATCTGTATGTGCAATACGACCATGTATAACAGTATACCTAGAACAAACAAATGTACATAAATTCCCAACGAAGCTGAGGTACATGTCACCCCATCGTTCGGCCTATGGTATTGCTCGGCCATCGTCAGGGGCGCTATGTCCTATCCTACAATAGGTAGCCAAGATAAACGCGTCACATAGGAAACCAGAGTTGGTTACCCTTTAAATAGACCAGCGAACGCAGCGGCTTTTTTATTCTTTTCTTTATTCTTTTCTCTTTTTTTCACAATAAATTGAGCGTCATATTGACGGTCAACCCAATTGCCTGCAAAGATAAAATGGGTGTTGTTTACGGGCCGTCGAAATCTTGTCAGACCGTCTCAGACCGGCCAGCGCAAAGAGCGCAAATAGGCACCCCCCGGTGAAATGTCGTACCTACCTGATATGTCAGGAGGAACGGACGAAGCACGTGTTACATCCTCACTTGCTTTTATTATTCCAATTTCCAACAAGCCAGCATTCCTCGCCCTCATTCGCATCTGCGTCGCAGCTTGTCCGACACTACGTCAGAAGCGCGCCACGGAATCTTAGCGACTTGCGCCCATCTCGGCGATTATCTTGATTCGCAAGACCCGACCCGTGCGAAGCGAAACCGGACTACGAAAGCCCGTTCATTAAATCAGAGGCCACGCCTCTTCGACAGCATCCGGATAAATACCACTTTGCGCGGGACCCGGAAGAGAAACCATTCGCGATGGACTTCGCGCCATATCAGAGCTCGCCGCCCGAGAACAACCGGCCGTTCTCCCCTCCTTTTGCCGAAACCAACGCCTCGCCACGCGCGTCGCTCGACAACGCTCGCGGCTTCAGCCCGTCGCAGCGCAATTTCGCCGCCTACTCTCCGCCACCGCTACAACATCCGCAACCCCAGCGCTCTTGGCATGCGAGATATGCTTCTGAGGAAGGCTTTGGTGGCGGTAATGCGGGTGTGGGCGCGAGCGGCGGCGGCGGCGGCGGCATAGGTCTGGGCGGAAACGGGGGGTTTGTCAGCGAGTTCGACACGAGTCTGGGGATTCGGCTAGACTACGAGGCGGTGCTTGCATATTGCGGGTTCCCACCCCTCGGCGCAATCATACTATTGATTCTCGAGAGAAAGAGCGATTATGTCAGGTGAGTACGGGCCGAAACGACCTCGATTATAGGGTGAGAGAGGCGTGATATCGTTCTAGATCTTCGTTTATCTGGATAATCGTCCCAGCGTCGAGGCGGGACAAGGGGTTGCGAATTATCAAGTCCAAGCATCTGATATATCGAGGCTAACGTGTCTTTGTATCTAGGTTTCACGCATGGCAGTCGAGTCTTGTCTTTACTGTCATGTTCATCGTCCACCTCATATTCTCATGGTCGACCTTCCTCAGCTGGGTCATCTTGCTCGGAGATCTCGGTCTCATCGCGTTCCTTGCGCTTCATGCTTACCGCGACGCGGATACCCTTGACAGGTGAGTGATCAACCCTATCAGCTCTTCAACGTTACATGATGTGAACCGTGAATAACCCCGAGTAGATTCGAGGTCCCTATTTTCGGAAGCATAGCAAGTCGCATACTCGATGATGAGTAGGAGCTTGTGACGGTAGTTACCGGTAGGGGCTGCTGGTTTTATGGGACGTCACCTCGGATCTGTTAAGGGCTTTTCTTGTGCAGTCGAGTCATCCGCAAGCCGGTGATTCGACGGGTAATAATGGTAATGTGAACGCGTATATACCCCAGTAGTATCGGCGCTTTGCGGTACTTAATTATATATAACGACGATGCATCTTCGAGTCAAGCGTCGAGTCGGCTCTGTCGAAGTCTGGAGTGTCTTCCGAATCTTCGTCAGAGGCAACGTTTTCTTGCGTAAAATGCGAGATCCCCCCATGCGAATTACGGGCTCTAGTATCTGTCCTCGTGTTGCGCAAGCCATACGGGATTCATCACGGGCACACGCCTTGAAGCAGTCAGCTCCCCGTCGGTTGTTTGCTGTATTCCGGGGAAGGCCGCTCTGTAGTGAGCTTTCTTCACCGATTGCTCTCTAACAGGGCGATCGCTATGTTCGTAAGTCTAATGGATCTAATTCTCTATATTCCACTCGTCTGCTGTCGGCTCGGGGTCTACTCTCCGTGTCACGATATTTAGAGGTTGGTTCCAAACGTTTATTAGGTAGGTGGGATACTATCTAGGTAGGGTGTTTAGAAACTCGAAAGATGGAGATTAACCAGGAATTAACGTCCCATGTACGGAATAACGAAGCGCTATCTTTTCCGTTGACATCTTGGGTATCTCAGAGATTCATCGATAATCACATTTACACCCGGAAGATTTTGATAGCTATCTAGGAAACCATCATGAATTGAACGTGGATGGGAGCAGGCCTTTTTGTTTTTTTTGGACACCCCGGGCGCAGCGATCTCGCGGACTGGCGGCTTTAGACTTGTTGGAGTTGACGCCGTTCATCAATCATGCGGCTTCGTGGCCCAATGGCAAGGCGTCTGACTACGACGAGGATCCCGGCTAGAACCAGATCCGCAAAGTAATCAGGAGATTCTGGGTTCGACCCCCAGCGAGGTCAAAATGGCAAATATTATCACCCGTACCGAGTTGTTTTTTTTTCCTTTTTTTCTTTATTTTTTTTCCACTCTAAAATGCACGGCAAATATCGACGAAGACGAATTACCTTGGGTATCTACCACCTTATGCATTTTTGCGAGCATATTACGGAATACAATGTACTTATATCATGTATGTCTACCTGTCTCTGATTAGTTTGGGGGGTTTATATCTTGTCGCATTGCCTTCTTGCCCTTTTTTTTGGCATTTTGTTCCCTGTGATGCTGCGGAGAAACCATTTCGATGTCTTGGTCTTACGCGCAACCTTACATCAAGTCCAGATCTCTAGATCTTCACGCCCTTTTCTCTCGTTACTCTCTTATTTCCCTCCCTCTTGAGAATGACGCGTGGCAGGTTCGTCGCTCGTCCCCGGATGCACTTCGTAGTTTGCAGACAAAAGTCAGTCATCGCGGTCCGTCTGCCAATCCTACATCATGTACGGTATCGGTATTCTAGCTATCCATTAGATATCTCCTCTCGAATTCAGGAATCCCAAGCCAGTAACATATACCATCATATCCCGTCGTAAGTACGGGACGTTCTACCATCAGTCTCCGCCTCTCGTGGGAACAGATCGGGGCTATGGGATCATTCTATATGACTAGATTGTGCAACCACCTCGTCTTCAAGCTACGGCTAGGGAGAACCATCTCAATAATCGGTTGAGGCGTCAACAGAGGAGAGGAGTTTACTTTTTATCTCAATGAAAGAAGTGAATTGTTTGTACCTAGTTTCCTCTTGCGGGAAAAGAATTACCAGCTAATTACAGCAATTTGTGTCTGAGCTTTCTGCTCCTCTGCCAGTGCTATAGAGTCAAACACCGGGGCAACTGGGTACTTAGTAGTGAAAAGGAATACGCCTTGTGTCCATCCTCAAACTTCTCAACAAAACGCCTGCGTTCCGATATCAATCCTTCCTGGCAAAGTTCCGGCACGTGGATGATCGCCCTTTCGTACCAGATTCTCGCGTGATTCTCTTACTCGGTTCGACGTCGTTTTGCTTCGGCTTGGCTCGCGTTGCCCGTTGCACTTCGCTTGTTGTTGGGACGGGCTGGACGGAGGACATTAAGGAACGGAAGAGCATCTTCTAGCTCCCCCATGTCTGACAAAGCTCCGGAGATGTCTTCGGCTGATGGGTCGTCAACAGTGACGCTTTCGCGCCACTCGAATCCTTTCACTAATGCTTGCTCATCTACGGGTAGATCAGCTAGATCATTGTGTCCCATTGGGGGCTCAGGAGCCCCTGAGGTCTTCTTGGCTCGATCAGCTAGAGTCGGTAGAGGCGTCCGTGTGTTGGCTTTGTTCGGCTGGATTGACGGCGTCATAGTTTGGGTACCGTCGTCTGCATCGGCCATGGCAACGTCAGAATTTTCTCCTTGAGGAGCGGATGCATCCTGGTCATCGTTCTCGTTTACGTCAGAAGCATCAATTGGCTGTGCGCGACCAACATTTTGAACTCCCGAACCCCGAACAGTAGCCGCTTCATCTTGAGCGTCATGATTCTGTATAATATCTCCATTCTGGCGGGCAGATACGTCAACCCGGGCGGCAGATGCTCCAGCCTGAGTTACGGCAGCGTGACCTAAATCTCTTTGTTCTGGAACGATTTCATGATTCTCACCAATCAAGGCTGCCATGTCAGCAATCTGCTGCAATTGCAGCTGCTCAGCTTGTTTGACAAGTCTCGGAATCTCTTTGCCGTAAATGGCCAATTCTCCATCATGATCATATACGTAAGCCTTTTCCTTCGCCAACTGGCGGCGGGCTCGTGTAGCCTTGGCCTTGTTTTTGGCCACGACTGCCGCATCGTCGCCTCCTGCGTTGGCAGGCGAAGCAGCGATGCCATATACAAGTTGTTCGACTCCCAACGATGCGGATGCGTCGACAGGACCGCAGTCTGGTTAGATAGGTCAGTTGGCGTAAATCATGTCATATGCGAAGAGACGACGAGATGAAAATGTAGTATGGAAAGATGATATGATGTGTTGACACATGACTTACCGTTCGCCTGGTCTAGACTAGTGTAATCGACGACCTTTTGGCGTACACGCTCGACGAATTTCTTGTATTTTACGACCGCGGCCACATCCAATTTGTCCACCGGGACTCCAGTAAGGAGTTGGCTAAGACCGATGGTAAGTTCGACAAGGTCAAAGAAGCTCTCTCCGTCTGCCTTCGCCTTTTTCTCTGACGATGTGGCGTTTTGTTCCGCAATTTCTTGGTCTCCGTCGTTGACTCCGGCGCCTCTCTTTCCTTTTGTTTTGGAATTGCGCTGTCGGCGTTTACCGGTCACAGAACCTGGGGCTTGACTTCCAACGACAACAGGCGAAGACTCAGCGCTTCCCTCTGCCTGAGCCACGGATCCATCTTTGGGAGTTGACATCTTAAGAAGTTGATTAGGGGTGTTAGTTTGAAGAAAGTAAGAGAAAATTGGTGAGGAAAGTTGAGTTGATGATAGAGAAAACCTGCAAGCTGATGAAATGAGGGCAAGTATTGTCTGTTGTGGAGATGGGAAGAAGGGCAAGGTCCTAAGCCTTCCCTTTGGATTTAGATATGGTATTTGCGGAGCCTGGCGGAGACGGAGGCAATGGCATGTGAGGCTTCCTGTCACAGGTACCTAAGCCGCAAGTTCAATTACCAGATCCAGCTGAGCACAGCCGCGTGTTGTAGCTTGGAATCAGAGACTCCAGGGAGATTTCTAGCTGTCTTGCGTGCCTATGCCGCAACCTCAACCACTTCAGGTTCACAAATGCGTACTTCTAAGCTTGTAACTAGATACTTGAGATACTTACCATCTGTGCCTTCCAAGACTCGACAGCAAAGTACGCGGGGAAGTCCCTGTTGACTCCCATTGGAAAGAGCATGTTTTCTTGTGACATGCCCCTGAGGCCTCTCTTTCACTAGTGAGGGCTTCAGTCCACCATGGATCACGCTCACAACATTGTTCATTAGGTAGACCTGAGGCTAGTATATGGACTCTTCACTGCTAATCAAAGAACCCACCGGAAGAAACTGGGGTCAGGCGTGTCTTTCTTTTCTGGTATTGCAATGTTCTTCGCATGGGGTCTTCAAGGTTAGGTACGCAGTCACCATTGAAGGATTGAGTCCCTCCTGGTTCTTGAACGACATGCTACGGAACCGGGAACATAGGATACGACTTCTTATTGACCAACGTATTGTCTTAGTTAGAGTCTAGACCAAACGGCAGTGTTAATGTAGTTTCATTGTTGCCTATCCATACCAATATCAACAAGTATTCTCCTTGTATTCCGGTAAATTACCAAAGGTTCTCTAACAAGATCATGTTATTCATTTAACTCGCCTTGGGGAGGGATGGAGTCACGATGCTCGCCCCGCGCGTCCTGGTCTTTCTGCTTCTTCAGCATATATTTACATCACGCCAGGGCTTCTTCTTCACTACGGCCTCGTCTTTGAAAACTGAAGTCCCCAACAGAGTCATGCCATATGTCGTATCCCCCATCAGAATCAGGGTAAAGACCGACTATCCATTTTCAACGTCGTTCGACTCGAGATCTCGCCATACGCCGGTGTCTTCCTAGATGCTCCTGGTCCGGGTTGTTTCCAGAATGTCGTGCAACTGAGAGGACAAATTACAGTAATCCCCGAACGAATATGACAACACGAGCCTTTCTTCGCTGACTTACTTTCTGTAACCAGGTCATCAAACTTGCCAAGTCAGTGGCCTGTCTACGCGGCGTTTCCGTAGCGGCGAGCCGGTAGACTGTTCAGCTACACGCAGTACAGACCCCGAAGCCGATGAACCCTATCCGGGGCTCCGTGCGGATCAACCTATATGACAGACGTGCTATAGCCGAGGGCTAGCTGCGATTCGGACGTCTTACCCGAAAGATTGGCTTAGCCAATAACAGTGGCATGGAGCACAACGCCAAGAAGTTTAGCAGGATCCAGAAGACATGCCGGACTATTATATGTTTTTCAGCTACTTTCGGCCGGATACGGGAAATATGCGCCGTCTAGGAAACCATACGGTGGACATGTCCACGATATCCTCTTCCCTATAAGTCGCGTGTGAAATCCTACCCCTGCCACAGCCACCGTTACAACCTCAGACGCTTCAGCTCAGTTAGATGGAGGACCGGCGAAACTATCCAATCAGCTACGTGCAGCGTTATGGCCCTACCAGAATGGCGCGAGTTGTCAATCGGCGGGAGAGGTTACAGAACCATGGAGATAGAAGGAATATATGATAATTGGTGTCCAGTTTCAATTGAGCGGCCCGGGGCCGTAGCTTTCGCCCTCCGCTCACGCTTCTTACGCGGGTATATGCTTCTATATTACCGTGCTGCGTGAAAGGGCTTGCACGTACGAAGGCATGGCAATGATCCACCACTAGAGGCTGACTTCTTCATCGTGGCTCCCCAAGCATCCCAAAGAGTCAAAGGAGAAGTAATATTGCTTGGGCAAGCTCTGGGCCAAGCTAAGAACCCCTTACACCCGCTCCAACGTCAACACGTGCGTTTTGCAGTGGCATCAGATTTCTAACTTGCGGGACAGGCGCGGAAGTAATTTGACCGCTCGTGAGCATGAACTTTTATACAAGGCTTTCGCTATCCGGGCGATATTTCCCATTTCGTGTCATAGTATTCTGGATACCAGTAGAGTATCACGGTACATCAGCGAGTTCGATTCATAGGAGGTAGGTTTCGATTCAATGGCACTTTGTAGCAATCTACCGACTTTTCCGCCGTCTCTGTTCTCTCAATTCAGCTCCTGCGTCACCTCTTATTCCAGCCCTCGAGTTTTTCTTTACGCCGACCCTTGGTAGCTTTCTTGGCCATCCCCATGGTTATCTCCTAGATATCGTATTTCTCAACTGCTCAGCCACCCTGAAGTACTCCTCGCATGCTAGCTAGCCGCTGTTGTGTCGGAGTAGGTAGATAAGTAACAAGCTAGATGGCCGAGCAATGAGGTCGGCTGAAGA